TTAGCTTTTTAATCATGCAAATAACAAGCATGTTTATGTAGTAAATCTTTAGCTTTTTAATCATGCAAATAACAAGCATGTTTATGTAGTAAATCTTTAGCTTTTTAATCATGCAAATAACAAGAATGTTTGTGTAGTAAATCTTTAGCTTTTTAATCATGCAAATAACAAGAATGTTTGTGTAGTAAATCTTTAGCTTTTTAATCATGCAAGTAACAAGAATGTTTGTGTAGTAAATCTTTAGCTTTTTAATCATGCAAGTAACAAACATGTTTGTGTAGTAAATATTTAGCTTTTTAATCATGCAAGTAATAAACATGTTTATGTAGTAAATCTTTATTTCAAAAAGAAACAATTTCAGCTTTAATATCATTGATGTAATTTCAAACTAAGGCTTAATTTCCTTTTCAATTGTTTAAAATTACTGTGTTCTAGTTGCTTTTGTGTTCCTTTACACTAAATCGAGACTTGGATGTATTTGTAAGCTAACGAGCAAATTACACATTTGTTTATATAATTTGTGTTTGTGTGTGTGTGTTTTAGAGCCACTTTGTTGGAGAAAAAATTATATCAATACAAATGTATTTTCATTATCAATGGAAAGTTTAGGGTGTAAAAATAGTTTTGATGTTCTAGCCCTAGGCATGAGAAATGTACAAGTCCAACAATTTTTTTTTTTCTGTCACTACAATGACTGAATTATTACACATTGCAAATATGCAGAAAACTAAACATAATATAATTTCTACAGCATTCATGATGCAGATATAAGGTTTGTGGGTAGTTATACCAGTCTATATGCTATAGAATGGAATATATGCAAACATATATTCTCTGATCAAGTCTGCATACATGACTAAATAAATACAACCAAGCAGTGGCATGCCATTTCGAATATCTCTACCTTTTACATCATACCTAGGAAAAAAAGAACCATGGAGTTCCAATTTACTTAACCAAAATATAGCTGTTTCATCTCCAGTCAAGAACTATCTAAAAAATAACCTTTCTTATCTATATGAATAATGATTGCATAGATGAGAGAATTTGTAAATATAAACTAAAAGTTTCTATGTTTATATATCAAACCTAGAATGGATTAACCTGTTGTTGATAAAAGGTACCACTCTTACATAAAATATCAGTGTCAGTGGATATTTTATGAAACTATAACAATAGGTAATATTTTTGCAAATTTTAATAATTTGATATAGAGTTTAATTTTACATACAAGCACAGATTTCATGTAAGGAGAACCTCACTCTCATTGGGTAAGTACATATGGAATTCATCATAGCCTGAATTACATATTTGGTATTTTTGGGCTAGTGGATTTTTTTCAGCCTACTTCTGGTTTCATGCATGACTATTTGTTGGTTTAATTTTAATAGTAATAATGCTATAAAATGTTTCAAGTACTCCAGAAGATTTATTTTAAAATTAAAATATTTTACTTCACATTTTGAAGTTGAATATAAAGGTATTAACTACTTGTTGAAATTAGTTCTACAAATTATTTGACTAAGTTATATTTAACAGTTTATAAACATAAAACTTAAAATTTATTAACATTTTTAGGTTTATAACTTTCATAACTTTTGTATATTGAATATTTGATGCAGAAGAAAAAAACTGAACACTGCTCCTAGAGTGAAAACAAAATAATGTTTTACTGTCATTATTATTATTTTAACAGACTGGTAGGGAAGCTCACATACAAGGATTTATAGAGACTGAACGTCACCAACAAAATATAGCCAAGCTAGAGAAGCAGGTTTTAAATCTAGAGAAAACTGTGGATTCAAAGCTGATGAATACTAAATATGCTTGGGGATCTGAAGATGTACATCAAACAAAGTAATATATTTAAGCAATCTAATATGAATGCATTGCATAATTTAACTTTTTTTTTTGCATGGTCTCTATGTTTTTACAAGTGCAAGTGACACCATTAAGTTTTAAAAAATTCTGTTTAATCTCTCCTGTTAGATATACACGACTGTCTTAAGTTTAATATGAGTGTTATGATTTTGGTGGTTTAAGTATCGTGCGAGTGCTAAATTTGGTTGTTTTTAGAAGTGATAGTTTGTTGCAGGTTTGTTTGCATAACTGTTTTTGAATCATACACTGTTTAGTTCAGATGTATTATTGTTTTATGTTAACACTCTCGATACGGGCTCAGTTAATTTGAATGACCACATCACCTTTTTGTACTCTATTAAAGTATTGATAGACTTAATACTTATAACTCTCAGTATAGTGTGTGTGTATCTTAATGAACTTTGGCAGTCTTTCAGTTAACGTTACAAGTCTTTCACATACAAAAACATATTTTTTATTGAAGTATTTTTAATAAAATATAATAAAGATTTGTCCATGAATATATTGAGTATTTTTTTTTTTTAATTAATTTAATTTAATTTAAAACTATAGTTTATCTGTTATTTTCTTCTACTCTATCTCAAAACGGGATTGGCCAAATCGACCGACCTCGTAACCACGAAAAAATAATCGAAATATACCTAAATTAACCTTTTATTCTTTCTAGATGGACTTCATATTGTAACATGAAACTACATTAATTTATCTTAAGTTGCTCTAAGTTAGTAACATTATACATCTACGTATAATTAAATGTTGTTGTTTTATTGCCCTTTGAACAGAGTTTAACTATTTTTCGTGTCATAAAAAATTGTAAATCACTTGGAGAACGTGCAGGCCACGTTACATTATCAAATTACATTACCCACAAGCTACTACGAGCTGTTCACATGCGTGCCTTGTGAACCATTTCAATTATATTATTATTACTTATTTTACCTAACCTAGTCTTAAATAACTTAAAAAAAGAATAAATATGAAAAACAAGAAATAAAGTACTTACCAAATATAGTAAAGCATTTACAATTTTATTTAATTAAGTAATACACTAAAGAATAACTAAACTCATTCACTCATATCACTCATTCGATTACACCACCATTCCCAGTTTGCCCCTGAAGAAGAAAGGTCCACCTTTTGGAAGCACTCAGATTATAGAGTTTTAATCATCTCTATCAAGACTTCTTGAACCTATGTGGTTTTTCTAATATTATGAGTAAAACAATCTTGTTATCTATTGAAAACTATAATTATCAGATAGAAAATGACCTCATCCAAAAATGTTGTTGGGAAAAACCACATTATGAAGTCAGGCAAAAGTAACAGTGATCCCCATTTTGAAAACTGAGGTCAATGATTACCTAAAAATCTTTGTCCATGATATGATATTTGCAGACTTATTTAAATCAAATAACTAAACTAATAACATGCAAAAAGTAGACAAATTCACATACTTCTAAAAATATTCCTGGCTTTCTAACTATGCGACAAAAGCCATTACAAATTCATCAAAGCTAGTCATTAACTTTCTCACGGGAACAAAGCTTATACTGTGAGTGAAATTGACGCTTTCTTGTTCAGAAGACAACGGTATACAATAAATCATTTGATATATGAAAACCTTGACTTTATATTGGTTATAGGTAATGTATAATTGAAACGGAAGAGAGAACTATCAATGAATTGTGAAAGAGAGGATGTGACAGGTGGGTGTGGCAAGAGGGATCTGATATTCTATTTGATAACTCTGTAACCAAACAATATTGAAGACTATAAAAATTATGGTTTGTCTGAGCAATAACGATTTTATAGAGTAATTTACATTTAAATTCATACATTTTTGAGAGGTGATGAATACAGTAGGGATGATGACATGCTTAGACAAAATGTGTCACGTGGGTCACAGTAGTGGAGATTTTTTTTTTTATATTCCCTTGTAGAATTAAGAACTTAAAACTTCTATACTGTTAAAATATGGACTATTAACTAAAACTTTTATGCTGTCCTAATTGGTATAACATAAACAAAAAGTAGTATAATAAATTTTAAATGTAAGATACTAAAACCTTGTGCCATGTGCATTAAAGGATACCTGGGGTGATAGGGTTAATAGAACTTCCTGAGCTTTACTCATTTTAAATTGAGTATTATTACATCATAATATCTCATTGTGTGTGGAATGCTCATTCTAGGCCTCTGTTGGGCTATAAATATGTGTCCAAAATGAAGTTTAGTTAGTTAGTTATTTATATAGAAAAGATAGATTTAGACTGCATGATTTTGAGTTTAGCTATAAAGAGAGTATAGTGGCGATTTTTAAAGTGAAATTATTACGTATTGTAATAACAGAAGAGAAGAATAATTTGTATTGTCAATTGTGTTATAAAGTGATTGAACCAGACTGCGTGGACTTTGTACACAATGTCTAACAATTATACTTGCGCATCTTTTATAAATAAGATGCAATTGCACATAATTTGTTAAAAACAATACAAACATAACTTTTATAATTAAGTATAGCGTGATAAGTACTATATATTTTAACAAAATGGTCCATATCATAATGTTGATTGGCCTGTAGTTGTACGTTTGTTAAGAAATATGTATGAAACCTGGCTTTTGGGTAAATAGTAATGGGTGTATTGCAGAATGGTATATTGTATAGATATATTGTAGCAATTTTTATTCCAAAACATACTTGCCTTCTCTCACACTACAGCTGTTACTCGACTAGTAGGGTTACCTTCTTTTGCCCATCTAAGCATTGGTCTCATTTTTTCTCACTTGATACAGTCTTTCATTTCCCACTTAATTGCTCTTGATTATGTGCTCTCTACCTTTGTACTGTATATAAGCACTTCATTTAGATAATGTTATTACTTTTTCTTGACAAAGCATTCACTAATGGATTTGTATGTATTATGACTGTTGGAAATACTTTGAGCATTCTTCGTGTTGCCTAGTTGTTTTACATAAAGAAAAATCTCGTTTGGCAAGCTGACATACTTATGAATTCCCAGATTATTGTTTCCTGCACTCTAGCATTGCTCAACCATCAGGGAGTCACTCTCGTTGGAGGCTGTCTGTGACCTCATTTGTAGTGATATGTTTACATAAATCCTTGTAATGTTTTACTCTAAAATGCTATTTCCAATATAAACGTTTTCGCATGAGGTTTTCAGTTTTTTTTTCAGCAGGAAGGTTTTTAGATCTACCTGTAGTCTTTCTGGAATAAAAAAGAACAATATGAACAATATGATAAATGTATATTTTAATTTCTTTTTTTTTGTATGTACTAGAGTGAAAGTTGCATTACAGTGAAATGATATTTTTTTTAAAATATTTATTGAGTTAATGTAAATTTGTTTAAAACATTGTATTCATTGCCCATTTGAGAGATTGAAAGCAGCAGGCTGGTTATTAAGAAAGGTGGAAGATGAAGATAACAATTCAGCAGATTAAGTCAAATAGAGAATTTGGAACAAATTTTTTTGCTAAGAGAGAAAAAGAAGTATATCAATATGCAAATAAAACATGGTGTTAACACGCGAAAGTGGGTTCCTCAGTAATATTCAATAGTTCACAATTGCCTGATTAAATTAAATTTAAACAGACTGTTAGCTGTTATTAGTACTAATATCTTGTTTGATGAAATTGTACAGATTGTTAATCCAGACTGAAGCTGAGTTGGCAGCAAAGAAAGAATATTTATCAGCTGTTAAGAAGTCTGTCTCAGAACTTCAGTCTAAAGCTGTAGAGCTAAGTCAGAAGAAAGAAGAACTAATGATAAAGTTTGTACAGATTCAGAGTTTTCAGAAGACTGTGGTAAGCTAATGAAGTATACTTAATGTGGGTGGATTATGACTTGTGTATAGAATGGTGAAGTTTTAAAATATAAGTATATTCAGCAGGAGTATTGTCATGTTACAACTTTTGTACAAGTTTCATGTATGAATTATTTTATCTCGTGGTGTAATACATCACTCGTATTATCTAGAAAAGTGTAACTGTTTCATTAAAATGTTGCTGTTTACATTTTGCAGGAAAATTTGGTGGTGATGTCAGCAAATAAATGAATAAAGGGCAGTATTACAAATTAAATGAGACTGTAAGCAGTTAGATTTAAAAATGTAATTTTTAAATGTAAATTATATTAAAGTAACTTGCAATAGGCAGTAAATTTTGAAAATGTTAAGCAGAGAATTAATCATACTCAGGTAACAAATAATAATGAGCAAACTGAAGTGTACAAATAAAAGAATATTTACTTATACAACAGGTAGTGTGTCTTATGAAATTTGGCTGGCTGGCCTTTACATTAAAATATTTTTTAACTGATTAGCCACTGAAAATGAAAAAGGATATTCTTAATTCTGCATTACTGCACTAGATGAAGACAGATACAAATCGTAATTTATAGCATTTCAAAGGTCTATCGTGATATCTAAATAACTAATATGATGCAAAATAATGTACAGAGTAAATAAACAAACTTAGGGTAAGAATGAAATTAAATGAAAACTTGGGAATTAATTTAACAATTTAAATTTGACCAACATAAAATTCAGTTTGAATATGTTAAATCTGTATTCAAAGTAGAATTGAATATAATACTGAATTTGGGCAACATTACAAAACCGAAACTGATGAGAATGCATAGTTTAATGTAAAATGGATTAAAAAAAGTATACAGTTCAAAATCAAAACTGTTAGTGGAAATACAAATAAGTTAAACTGCTGAAATTGTGTATATAAAGTAGTAATAGTGATTTAATGGAACACAACCAAAAATGTTACAAAACTAAATAAAGTTGTAAATATGTGACAGCAAAAAAACAGCATAATATACACAAAAAAGAGGAAAATGGAAAGGAAATATATGTCGAAAATGTTAACCTTCATTATAAATTGCCTGATTAAATTTTATTTAGACGGACTGTTAGCTGTTGTTAGAACCAGTATCTTGTTTGATGAAATTATATAGATTGCCAAATATTGTTTACAAATGTCTCATAAGAAATTATGGCTTATGTAGATCTTATGTAGGCTACTGCCTTTCATTTAAGTTTTTTTTAGATTTCCTAGGTGTATTACATTATCCTGGGGAGGTTGATTCTCCCTCGTGAACTGTTTGTTGTTGTTGACCCTTCGACCCTCGATAGAAAGTCCAGATTTCCATCCATTTGTATAGTAATGAGCTGGCTATAGCTTCTTCATGCCTGACTCATTGAGCCTTTACTTGTGCCATCAAATTACTGACATCTCTCATAGGAATAGTGAATGCATTCACCCCTCTACTGCAAAAATATCCATGTCCCAAGCACCAATGAATGCCCCCTCCAACTGTTTCTATGGGACAGTACACATATAGCAAATTGAACAAACAAGTAATTCCACTTTACAAAACCTACAAAATTCTCCAGTCATCACAAACTGTAGCATATAGTTTAAATTTCATAATTTCAAAAAGATGTATTTAAATAAATTGTCAAATCAACAGAATCCATGTTGTTGTGATGGATTAACAATGCTGTAGGACATTGAACCATAGTTCAGATTTACCCTGTTTATTGTCAAAGAAATCAAGCGAGATAAAGACTGCCCAGTTTTTAGGAGTATATTTCTGAAAAATGTTCTGCTTTTTGAAAAAGAGGAGTTCCAGTTTTCTGGGATTTTTCTGATACCTTGAAAATAGAAGGAAAGTTTTCTGGTCTTGAGGGATTCCACTGTACATTCTCTTGTTTTTTTATTATTGAGAAAGTTCTTTGTTGTATAACCATCCAGTTTGAACTTGTTTAATATTTAGGAATATTTTTTGACACATTATTTTGCCAATTGATACATTTGATTTAAATAAGTCTGCAAGTATCATATCATGAACAAAGATTTTTAGGTAATCATTGACCTCAGTTTTCAAAATGGGTATCACTGTTACTTTTGCCTGACTTCATAATGTGGTTTTCCCAACAAAATTTTTGGATGAGGTCATTTTCTATCTGATAATTATAGTTTTCAATAGATAACAAGATTGTTTTACTCATAATGTTGGAAAAACCATATAGGTTCAAGAAGTCTTGATAGAGATGAATTAAAACTCTATAATCTGAGTGCTTTCAAAAGGTGGACCTTTCTTCTTCAGGGGCATACTGGGAATGGTGGTGTAAATCGAATGAGTGATATAGGATAACAAGATTGTTTTACTCATAATGTTGGAAAAACCATATAGGTTCAAGAAGTCTTGATAGAAATGAATTAAAATTCTATAATCTGAGTGCTTTCAAAAGGTGGACCTTTCTTCTTCAGGGGCAAACTGGGAATGGTGGTG